GCGAGCATGTTCGATGGGATAGGGATAAGAACCCGCGACCCTCAGATTGCGAGTCGAGTGCCATAACCACCTGGCCATGCCGGGCCCATCTTGCTAAATATTCTTTGAAGCTACAACACAGAGTGACTCCGAATTGAAGAGTGTAACATAAGCAAATGCTTACCTTTGCCTTTTAAAACATTTGCAAATTTGCAAACATTTCTGAGAAGTTCCTTGTAGGTTATAGTAGCGTGATCATCGGGGTCATTGCCTTCCCTAAAAATTAAGAATGGAGACTCTTGAGTTAGTGTCCTAAATTATTAAAAAAAAATTGGGTCAATAATTTATCATGTTTAGTACAAGGCTTAACGTTACAGTTTCACTGCTTCTTATCAAAATTTTTTATACATATATTAATGATGATAAATTATATATTCTAAATTAACTTTACACTTGCACGTAACAGTGGAGTAATTTGATAAAGTTTGACGTTTAATATATCATTATCAGTTACCCCGAAATCATGGTAGAAAAATTACGCTATTATCAAATTTACTCTTTATGTTTCAGATACGTGACTTAGTTTGTTGAACTATAAAACAGCATCCTTATCATTACTTCAGCATCCTTCACATGTCTAATGCCAGTAAGATGACAGCTACTTTTCACCATGGCTTTTCGACTGATAAACTATAATAATGTCATCGCTATTACTGACATTTTGTCAGTTAATTGTTTGTTTGTTTTGAATTTCGCGCAAAGCTACACGAGGGCTATCTGCGCTAGCCGTTCCTAAGTTAGCAGTGTAAGACTAGAGAGAGGGCAGCTAGTCACCACCACCCACCGCCAACTCTTGGGCTACTCTTTTAATAACGAATAGTGGGATTGACCGCCCCATTATAGCGCCCCCACGGCTGAAAGGGCGAGCATGTTTGGTGTGAGGCGGATTCGAACGCGCGACCCGCAGATTGCAAGTCGAGCGCCCTAACCAGCTGGCCATGCCGGGCCCTCCTGTAAGAAATGTCTCACCAAGCATTAGGATCAACACATCTTTAGCATGATGCTAATGTGATATTTTGATTTTCTTCTCTTGCAGCTTGGCATCTTTTAGAACGTTATCACACTACAAGTGAACCCCTTTGAGGGAAATAAAATGTTTTATCGAAGGTTTCTACAGTATAAACACGAGGAAACTTTTGAACGCGTAGCGCTATAAAAATTTAATACTTTATTGTCTCTTTAATTTTTTATTTTTGTAGTAGGCTGCAGATGAACATAGATCTTTTGTACCTTTTATTTTCGTGCCCCCTTTCCGGTGACTGCGTAGTAAACTAGAGAGCTTATAACCCTAAAATTCTAGGTTCGATCACTGCGGTGGACTTAGCGCAGCTAGCCAATTGTTTAACTTTGTGATTAAAACCAACAAACACTTTTTTTTTCTCATGATGAACAAACGTACAAACTGGTAGCTTAAACAATAAAAATAGAACTTTTTTCCTAAGCAACGGTCCCCTAGCGGGACAGCGGTAAGTCTACAGACTTACAACGCTAAAATCTGAATTTCAATTTCTCGCAGCGAACACAGCAGATAGCCAATATGAATTTGCTCTAAAACAAACATAAACAACGTTTTTCCTTCTTTTTTTTTTACTATTTTCACAGGGTTGTCAGTTATTTATATACAAAATAAATTATTTTTCAATATAGATCACATAAACAAATAGTTTGAGAACCTCTGACACCAGGTTAAAACTGTCAATGAATTATTTAAGACATGCATACATTTCGTTGGAAAGAAAATAATTGGAATTTGAAATAATTATCATTATTCAATTACAAAAACATATGTCATAATAGCTTTTGAATGGTGTGATTTTTGCGTATAAAACGGATTCGTAGAGTTTGTGCAGATTTCTTTGTAAATATAGTGTTGATATTGGGTTAAAAAGAAAAATAGATATTTTATAAATATTATATAGGTTCAGAGGGAGCATACTGTTAGTTTTCAATCTTGAATATCGTCAGGTTGGGTCCTAATGTTGCTAGGCAACTTTTGCATTGTCATCAATATTTTGGGCATAACATTTCACTTGCACCACTTTCCAAGTATTAAAAAAGTGTTTTTATTTCAAAATAGTTAACTAGTTAGCTAATATCTGGCCTAAACCGGTTTCTATATCGAAACGTCATATCTTGTCATACAATAACTTCAACTTATTTTTCGTAATGATTGTAATTCAGAGTAAGGTATAGTGGCATTTACGCTCAAAGACAGAAGAGGTACTGAAACAGAAGCAATTTTCACAAAAACCTGCAGTGGAAATTACCAGGTGACGGGTTAGTGGTTGTACTAAACACGTAAAACCACGAGTTAATAAAGATGAGTTTTCACTACCTTACAACACGTTGTTGACTGTACTAAATAATTAAAATCAAGTGTTAACGAAGACGAGTTTTCATTACCCTACAGTTCGTTTGTTTGTAATTAAGCATAAAGCTACACAATGGGCTATCTGTGCTCTGCCCACCACGGGTATCGAAGCCTGGTTTCTAGCGCTGTTAGTCCGCAGACATACCGCTGTGCCACTGGGGGGGGGCAGTTCGTTGATGACTTTACTAAATACGTAATACCATGTGTTAACAAAGACATCACTACCCATTGACGGGTTAGTGGTTGTACTAAACACGTTAAACCAAGTGTTAACAAAGACGAGTTTTCATACCCTACAGTCCGTTGGTTACTGTACTAAACACGTAAAATCAAGTGTTAACTAGAACATCACTACCCATTGACGGGTTAGTGGTTGTACTAAACACTTAAAATCAAGTGTTAACAAGAACATCACTACCCATTGACGTGTTAGTGGTTGTACTAAACACTTAAAATTAAGTGGTAACAAGAAGATACAGGAACGAAATATATGTCACGCAATATGCCTCATATGTGAAAACATTAAATGTATCACCTTTATACATGCACGTTTGAGACTCTTCGTTATAGGTTATCTCACAGGGAGATTTATAAGAACATTCATTGTGTCAAAATTTACAAATGGTGTTAAAACAACAGGAATTCAAATCACACAGTCATATAAGAAATCTTCCACGTGTCTGCGTTACAGTTTGTAAGAAATAAATCTATTCATGTGATTACAACTTTACATTATTTCCTTCACCAAATTTCTTCTCGATTGGAAACTACATTGTACACCAAAAATAAATGATGAAAGAAAACAGAAACTTCAGATGAACATTTATTTCACTCAAAACATCAAAACGTTAGACGATCCTCGGTTCACAATCTCACCCATCCTAAAGGTTTCCTAATTCAATTCTAATAGACCAAGCAGAAAATTGCACGTGAGAGTTCCGCTCTCTCTGTCAGGTGTAACAGTTAAAGTTCTTATTAAGGTGAATTTATAGTTATAGGCCCGTACATTTCGACAATGACTCACCTGAATGTAGGAATGGAATTACCAGAAGTAAAACCTCTTACTACTGCAATTATTCAAACAAATAAATGTACCAAATGAAATATGGACCGCAAAAACAAAGCATAATGGAAATATATAACATTATTACCAAAGTACGTAAACTTTGGGCAGTTTATTGTTTCTGAAAATGAAATACCATAAGTGAAGTTCGAAACTTATATTAGCTCCATATCCAAAATCAACTAAAAGGACTGTTGCCATGGTTACTGATGAGGAAAAAATGTTACAGTATTAATTCGATAAGGAAGAGTTCAAATACTAACCCCCCCCCACCCACACACACACACTTCCAATTTCTTAGATCATGCAAACAACCAAGCCTATAGATAATTTAATCTTAAAAGCTTCCTCGACTTGTTCATCCACTTATCGTACGAAGCACCCTGACTTTTACTATTCATGATTACGTCGTGTTTTCTAAGTTGTCAAGGCAGACTTTTGGATATCCTCACCCTGTGTTAAATGTGCTGCTATTGTTTTCCTCCAGGCGCACTTTGTAACTTCCACAAACATGGCGGCAACTAATGTTATCAATTATTTTATTTCTTTGAGAACTTCATTTTGAGTTGGGAAATGTATGAAGGTTGATAATGAAAACTAAGTAGAAAGTCTTATTCCACGAAATCCGAGAAAGATAAAATGTTTGCCTTAGTAAAGACAACTCTTCAAAGTTTGATTAAAATTATTGGAATCGGTCTGCAAGCTGTAACGTTTCGAATTAATAACGCCCATGTTTAAAATGTTGTAAATGTTTGACTTTCGAAATATTGAAAATACTCGTATTTTAACATCTAATTTCTATGGCAGGTTGTGACCTAGTGGCTAGCATGTCGTACTTTGAAACCGTGGGCACGTATACATGTGAAGGTCAAATCGATTAAAGTAATTAAAGTAACTCCAAAGACGTCGGTGTTTGCTGTTGACTAGCTACCTTCCTTCTAGTCTATCAGTTCAAAATTAAAGACAGATAACCTTTTGTGTAGCTTTTGGGGATATCATAAACAAACTAAGCCTAATTTCTTTTCGTTTCTTTTGTGTTTTTTTGAAGAAGAGATGGTAGAGCAGAAATAATTTATTATACTAAATTGGATGTTTAACTATGTTTTGAAGAAGTTAAAATGGTCATTAAATCCATATAGTGTATTTTTTTCGCACAAATGTTTAAGTTAACGATAAATGTGGCGCCTTGTATTATTTGGAACTACAAGGTTCTGCTGCTACAGTAACATACAAACACATTTTTTTATTGGACATGCTTGTTGTTGGTGTATTACTGCTAACTAATTGATTGTGTACTGTTGATATGGTAATTTGAAGATTGCATTTTGAAGCTGAGAGAGTTTTGTGATATTTATTTTCTGTTTCTGGTTTGTTGTTCTTATGGAAAGTTGAAAATTGTTTTAGTTATTGGAATAAATGGTTTCTTTAAGAAACTAGATTGAGCATTGGTTAGTGTCACTGTATTGACACTTGACGTCACGCGGTAGCCATATTGTTGGTTCCTAAATTGTCGAGTGTAACAGTGTTAATGGCAATGATATCCAAGTGATGGTTGAATGCTTTGTAATCAATTTCACTCTTTGAGTTTTGGCGACCTCAGTTTTCCGATATTTCTTGTCAGTTCACTATGTGCACCTTGTTTATTTATTTATTTAATACTTTACGTTTTTGTAATAACTATGAAAAGGAAATGGTTACATAAATTACAAAAATACTTGTTTGTAGAACTAGTATTGTAAAAATAAGGAGAGAAATAACTGACAATGTTGTGTTGGTCTAAAC